CAAAATCAATGAACACACTTTGCAAAAAAAATACGTGTTCCTTCTTATTTTTGCATGTTGTTCCTTCTTTGGACCGCTGGACACGTCTTTTCCTTTTCCTATCTTGGGATGTTTTGAACCAAACCACCCCAACTACGTTGGTGAGAAAGTGACCGAGACAACTGCAGACCAAAAAGCACTTGATGTCATGTCGTCATCTCCCTACATTATCAACATCCCTTGTCTGTCTATACATTGCTCCATCGGTGTTGTGTCAATCCACTCGAAAGCGATCTTGGCCACGCCTGGAAAGGGATGTCTAACATGTCTGCCACTGCCAGCCTGCAAGGAATTGTTGCAGAATGTCCAATCTCCACTTTTCCGGAAAAATTGTGGACTACACACTGCATCTTCATACATCTGTATATATACACACGCCTGTGTACATGTGCGTGTGCATGCATCTGTACACACTATGTGTATGTACTTATATGTGTGCATCTGAGAAGGGAGGGGATGAAAGCCAGCCTCCATAAGAAGACATCAATGTGGTCATGGGGCGAATTCGACAGCGCACTTGAACTGCTGTCAGGCATGGGGAAATAGAAGGCAGAGGCGGAAAGTCTCGCATTGAGGGACGATCTGACAGGCTCCGTATACACAAGGTTTCGATCAAGCCCTTTTAGCGGTTATAGGATAGAAGTGGAGCCCGTGGGTTAGGAAAAAAGTTGAGTTGAGCAGGACATTTGCAGTTGGGGGGAGAATGGTTGACTTGAGCATGAGATTCACAGGTGGGGGGTGCTTTTTCTTTTGCTTCAAAACCGTTTTCAAGCTGAAAAAGGGGCGCTGCTGTTTGTTTCTCTTGTCATTGTAGATGGACTTCAAAACCGTTTTCAAGCTGAAAAAGGGGCGCTGCTGTTTGTTTCTCTTGTCATTGTAGATGGACTCATAAATTCGGCGTGCTGCTACAGGGGAAACACTAACACCGCTATATGCAAAAGTCATACCTAAGTCATGCCTAAAGTGCAAACCCCAATGGCACCGCCATTGCAACACGCTATATATCTTCTTGTGCTCAGCCTGGAACCAGTCAAGTCTTCTTAGAAGACCAAACAACAGCAGGGGCTGGCACAAAGCGCCGTGCACGGTTGTGTTCATTTGCACACAACCAGGCCTTGCGCCCTGAGCTGCTAGCAAGCAGACGGGCGTTGATCACTTTTTTTCGGAACAAGGATCCCAAGCTATCAGCTTTGCTGGCTTGTGAACGTAATGTTCCCACGTAGAATTCGGCAACCGGTCGGCCGGTGTCCTGTTTCTCCGGCGCAAAACATGGGACGATAAATTCGACACAATGGGCTGGCAATTCAAGATCGATGCTACTGCCAAGATCAAGTGATTGCCTAACATCGGACAAACATTACTTTTGTTATAGGGCGAAGTCGACATTGCAATGACGGCTACTGCTGGCAGAAATAGAAAGCATAATACATAGGTCAGGGGGGGGGCGCCCTTTTTCTTTTTGCTCAAATGCGTTTTCAAGCTAAAAAAGGGCACGCCTGAATAACTGAGGGGCGCTTGCCTGCTGATTGTTTCTCTTGCCTTTCTTTTGCTTCTCTTGCCTGCTGTTTGTTTCTCGGTCCAAGGATAGCTGGGGTGCCCTTTTGCATCCAGTTAACAGCCCTCTTCACCGTAAAAAAGGGCACCCCCAAGCAACTCAAAGCTTGCCGACTGCATTCTGTTCCTCTGATTGCCGTCTACTCTACGGGTCACGTTCTTTCTTGCGTTCCCTTTCACTCTTATTAGGCAAGGAAACAGAGGGCGGATAGGCGCACTTCTCACTGTCACGTCGCACCCCCCTTTCCTGTCCTCCACATGACCTCCCACCCCTTCCCTGGGATAGCTCTGAGGGGTGCCCTTTTGCATCCAGTTAACAGGGGCGCCCCCAGGCAACTCAAAGCTTGCCGACTGCATTCTGTTCTCTCTCCTGTCCTCAACGGGTGACATCATTTCTTGCGTTCACTTCCACTCTTATTAACCACAAGAAAAACAGATCGTTGAGAGACGCACATCTCACTTTCGCGGTGGATTTCCGACCGCTTTTCCTGTCACGTGCTCGACATGAACTCCCACCCCTTTGTCGAAAGACTGTCCAAATAGCTGAATGAGCCCCTCATGATGCTAATGATGCACCATTTGGCATCAATTACATCACTTCCATCGCAACACCCCAAAGACCATACATATTCACTGCTGTTCGGACCAACCAGGCACTTCGTTCGCCCATGGGCTCGCTGTCGTGATTATACATGAGACCTACGCATATTCAGTTGCCATAGCCTAAGAGTGACCATAGATCAACAACCCGGCGCGGTGAAAACCGCGCGTGTGGTTGAGTGAGTTTGTATTGGAGTGAAACATAGTCGGATCCTCGAAAGCTGGGGTGCTTTACCCTTTTTTCTGATCAGTACCTAGAAGTCATCGCAATTACAATAGGGTTCAATTTCAGGCGGCTTTTACACTGTATTTCACCGTGCTCGGGAGATCTCGTGTCATCAAAACGGTGGTAAATGTTGAGTCCACGAACGAGCTGCTTCGTCGTTTTCTCAGGGAAAATGTACCAAAAAAGGGGACGGTGGCGCTCCTTTTCATGACAGTTTTGCAATAGCCTTCGCAGTCGTTGAGCACAGGTCTTCCGTGCCGACAATTTCGAATCGCCATTGCCAACTTCGAACATGTGTCATGATTTTCGTGTCAAAGGAACCACCAACACGAGTCCTGAACGAATGTGGTATGTTATTTTTAGCAATCTTCCAGACAACATCTCTTAAGACAAGTCAAAGTCGTGTCGTCTCCACACCTCGACCAACCATAAACTTCCAACAACGAGTCGAAATGGCAAGAGTTATCTCAAACCACCTTCGAAGAGACAGGGTAACTCACCTACCATTTCAAAACCACCCAACCTCAACAGCAAATGCTAGACTGCCGCATTTCTTAAAACGGCTACGGATCGTACGAACGACACAAAAAAAGAACCGACAACGGATGCATACTACATGCCATGTGCGCACTCATGCAGATGTACATGCCATGTTAGCTACATACATACGATCGTTATTAAGCCCCCCACCCCCCCAAACCTGTGCGTATGTGCCAAAAATACTGGAATTATTGCTAATCCCATTGTAAAGAAAGTGAAAACAAGAGAAAACTGAGAAGTGGATGTGGTAGAAGAACGTACGGTGTTGCCATGTAAATAATCAAAAGATGCTGTATTGTACAATGAAAATGAAAACATGTAGATGGTGATGATGTTGGTCCCAACATGCATGCTATCATGCCCGCACTGGTAAAATGCACGCGTCTACACGTACGGTTTTCATGCCGTTGGCATCAACAAGAGAAGACTTGGCTGTATGCTCAAGAGCTGCAAATGTGTTTTGGTTAAAAGAAGTGTGTGATACATTCTAATGCGTCTGCTAGTTGCCTTCGCTCTGCTCATCACTACTTGGCATAGGTTCTGTCAAATGTGAAGGCTGAATTGGGCTGAAACAGTTGACAGGTCTTTGCTCGGTGAGCTGTGCATTCACGCGGTCCATCTTTCTATGCAAAGGCTCTAAACTGCCCGGCCTTGTGTAATGCAGGGTCTTGTTTTTCCATTCATTCCAGCACGCCTGTAGCCACACATTGTTGCTTTCTGTCGAATCGGACTGCGCTCTGTGGTCCCCACCTCATTGCACTGCACCTGCATTTTCCACGTGGCAACTGCCTCCTGGAGCTTCTCTTTTGCAGGTCGCACACCTGACTGATGATCTCAGTGTCCAGCCCATGCTCATCAGAGTTTGCTGATCCAATCCACTAAGCTAGACTGCTCCAGGTTGGAGATCCAAACACCCCTCACATTGCCACCTCCAAGAAACTAAATCAGTTGTGACCCCTATATAATATATATACAGTATATATATATATGTACATATATAACATATATATGTGTACATATATAACATATATATATATGTTATATCATGTTATATATATATATGTTCTATATATACTGTAACTCCCTTATCTCTGTTTTCAGCCAAGTTGCACTGCCCACGTGCCACCTCCGCATCCCCAGCGCAGTTCTGAGTGCACTGAGCTGTGAAGTGATCAAAGAGCTTGTCCTCCATGAAGCACTGGTAGATCGGGGAGAATTCCAAGGCATCCTTTGGAGGTCGAGTCAGGTTGAGTCCTTTCAGTGTCGATGTCAATGTCTTTGTTTGCCAAGTGATTCTACTGAAAACACCCTGCTCCAGTCAAGCATCCCAATTCATTTTCGTCATCTCTTCATCAATGATCTCTTCAATCAATGAACCCGGCATGGGTGTCGTGGTCACCCCACCGCCCTCGCTGGCACGGGCCGCTTTCTGTAACATGTTTTGACTCAACGTGTGGCAGCTGGACAGTGACGGCTAGTCCGCAAAGGTTGTTTCTTTCTCAAGGTTGTAAGTTTCAGATTAATGGGTGGTTGTCCGCTCTCTAAAGCATAGGCATGGTAGTAAGAGGCACCAAAAAAACATGGCAGGATCACACTCTGCAAGCACCGTGCATATGCCGTTCAAGAGCTCTAGAATTGCTACCATTCACATCATGTCCTGACTATGTGAAAGCTACGCTGCTGCGCTGCCTTCCTCCAAACAAGAACACCAACAATTCTTGGGTCACCTCAGACTATCATCGAACACTTGCGAGTAAAGCAGCACAGTAGAACATCTCTGGACTCTTAGATTCCAAGGACTGCACACAATTGGAGCCATTGATTGCTTGGTGTCCGTCTTGCATTGAGCTCCACACTCACATTGCCCACTCCAGTCTTCTCTGCATATGATAAGTTCTTGTAGTCCAGGATTTGCAGATGGGAACCTGCCTCAAGATGCTGAAATCGCAGTTGAGCTTGCTGGTGTGCCAAAGCGACAATGATATTGAAGGCTTTGGAGAGACCAAACAGACTTTCTTGATTAGCCTCGTTGACATCACAATCAAACACCACGGCTGTTGTTGTTGCCTTTGAATAGCCGTTGTGCAAACGTGCACATGTTCACTCCCGCCTCTCCAGCGACGAGTTCGGGGCCGTCCTTCACGAAGACAATGGCATCTTGTGTGGTATGCGCGAAGGTGTCCTTGGTCGGTCTCACTGTATCCGCCCTGTAAAGACAAAGACTGGTTCTTCAGAATGGGCTCGCCCCTGAGGCTGCATCATTGCTGCAAAGTCGGAGGTGCACATGTGGCACTGAAATCCAGGTTGACACAAAATATGTCGACGGTGCTCGAAAGCGGATGGTGACTTGGCCATTGCTGCCAACCTGACCGTGTGCAAATGAAATCAAAGCCGTGTTGCATGTCTACGACAAAGCCTCAGCACGGTACCAGCACCCGAGAACAAGGTTGGGTCCGAGACGCAAAAAATTTGGACTGAGATAGTATAATACTTGGTGCACCATTGTACAATCAAAAAGTACCAGTTGGGACCGCAAGGGCCAAGTCTCCTTCTGAGAGCTTCTTGCGATGTTAAATCTCGGGACGACAATATGTTCGCATTTCTCAATGCGCTTATTGTTTATTGCTTCACATGAGGAACAGCTCACACAACTCACCCTAGAGTATCCTAAGCCGGTTCGCCTGCGTTGTTCTGCTAAGGGATACCCGCTCGCGCCCGCGCAGAGAAAACGGTTGAAGTAAAAATTTACCGTGTTTACCACGCGTGTGGTAGAAGAAAAGGGCAACCCCCGCGGGAAAACAGTATTTAAGAAAACATACAAAAAATAATACCGATTTTTAGCGTGTAAAAAAAAAGAGGCGACCCCCCAGGAAAAACGTTTAAACAAAAATGAATCTGTTTTTAGCGCGCGTGAGGCGTGTGGTAGAAAGAAAAAGGGCGACCCCCCGGAAGAACGGTAAAAACACATGATGTTGATGTTTACTGTTTTTACCCCTGCCTCGGGGAACCCCATAGCCGCTAGCCCACGCAACACCGCTAAACCAGCACAGTCACCGGAGTGGGGTGAGGGGTGTTGATTCGCTGCTGGCCCTAAATAGATGCCATGCTTAGCGGGACATGCCCCTCATACTGACTTCTGAAGCAACAGTGTTTAAAGCTACGGTTCAGCCCATGCGATTAAGAAATTTGATTCATCCACTCAGGCCTGGAGATTGCCTCCATTGAAGTCCTCATCATCGTACTTGGGATATGCAAAGTTCATATGTGGGTAGACCGCACATCCTGCAAAAACGAATGTATGTCTGTGAGTCGCACATTCCTATGAGGTTGCAGAAGAGTCGTTTGATCACTTGGGTATCCGAGTGCTCAAGATCTCGGAGATACTTCACCTTCGCCACTAAAGAGGAAAATGAAAAGTCGTTTCCAGGCTCCTGCCAAGTTCAGATGAGGGTTCCACGCCGTCTGCGATTTTCTGGGCGCCCACCATGCCAAGTGAACTGGGTTATCGGGTGTTGATGGCGTCAGGTTGCCCAAGGTGATCTCCATGTCATGCCTGCACAAGCCACCACTTGTCAGTTGTCAGATTGTTTCAATGACAGAGTTTGGATGTATCAGTTTGGATGTAACGTGAGTACCAATTGGATGGTGCATGTTCCATTCTTGCTTGTCAGGCTGCGTATCAGGACCTGGAGAGTTGTAGGCATTGCACTTGTATTGTGAATTGAGTTCGCAGCCAGTCACTTTCCAGTCCCACTCGTCACAGCGCCCCCAGATGTGACTCTCCTGCAAATGAACTCTGGATAGTTTTGGAGCTGTGGAATGGGTTAGGCTGTCGAGTCCTGAGCTGCTAAATTCCAGAGTCTTCGGCCATTGCCACGGAATCTCTCCCCGTTCGTGCCGATCGGAGAATGCCCAAATGCTACAAGAGGAAGTGTGACCAGTGCCTCAAGGCCAGGTCAGCCAGTTCTGGCGGAGTTGCAAAGAGTGAATCAAAAATCCAGAGCCAAAACAACTAGGAGCAAAGAAGCTACTAGGGGCTCCTGGCATCGCCACTAGGAACAAGGACGCTACTAGGGGCTCCTGGCATCGCTACTAGGAACAAGGACGCTACTAGGAGCAAATAACTCTTCTTGGACCGAGTCAACGAACGTGTTGCATCCAGTAATCGTGATGTGTGAAATATGTTTTGCACTAAGTCCACTGCCAGAAGCATCGCAGCGGCGACACCAACCGGAGAAAATGGAAGATCTGAATCTAAGGAAGAGTTGAAACTTGACTATATACAGGAACCAATTCTGCGGGTGGCACGCGATAAACTAACAGCCAAGCTTATGATGAACTACTCCAACCAAAAAAAACCTGCGATATGTCAACATGTGCAGCACAAACTACTCCCTCGAACAATCAGCCCCGAAAGGAAGACTGCTGTACAACCAGGGAGTTCTCCACTAAGCCATGCGGAGCGACTCCAAACAGCGCCCTGGCACACCCTCCAGACCAGCTTCAGGCTGAAGCAGCCGCCTCCGGTGTACCCACCTGAAGAGAATACAATGGAATAAAGGATCATATTGGGCGGCGGCTACAAATCTCTGCCTTCGTTCATCCGCGCGTACAAGTGTTCATGTATAAAAGCCACAATCAGCTGGTAGGAACAAGTGCCACGCTACTAGTAACAAGCGCCTTACTAGTAGTAACAAGAAGCTACTAGTAACAAGTGCCTTACTA